TACATTTACACACCGTATAAGTCCAAACAAGTTGTATCGAGCTATAACTATAACCACGGATATAATCAACCAACATATTACACAACTCACATGCTCGTAGCACCATTCCTGATCGCAGTGACTACTCCAAAACCAACTGCATACTAGTATTAAACTCATATCGAACCAAACCTCATCCCAAAACTTTCGTACACTGTTGATAATAAAAGAAACACGCGAAATTTCATGACCACTTACCAGATCAACAAGTCATGGAGCCCTCTCGCCCCAACCAGAACCATAATCCCTTTCTGAGCCGACTTTCAATATTATACTCCCGAATATACCGAAATCAAACCTGATAGTACCCATTCTAGGTCCAATGACCNNTCAACTGTTCCATAGACATGCCTCACCAATATAACTCAGAGCCACAACTTGTGCCATCCGTGCACTAATACGCAACAATTCAAATGTACCCTGTCATGGAAAAATGACCCAAATGAGAGAACTCCCCCGCCAGCTTAACAAGTACCTCCACAAAGAAACGCTGAAAATTAATCATACACAGTAGAACCATCACCCGATTCTAACACGAGGTTCATGTTATATACTCCGAGCCACCCTGCTCCAAATAAATAACGACAGAGAGGCAAATGACAAAAATACCACACAAAACCTGAAAGGACATAACCATTACGCTATCGATCATGTAATACCCAAATACTCATCACACTCAAATTCCGCTATAAAGCTCAAATAGAACTGCACCATCTGTGCACATAACCAATGAATCACAACTCCTCGTAGCATAAAGGAGTAACTCACAGATCATCTCAGGACACGAATAAGCTCAACATCAACCGAATGACACATCCCTCAACAATAGCAGTATGGAGCCAACCATTCCGGCTCGGTGTAGAATACACATCTTAATTAGGCCTACTAACGGACCGCCAAATCAACTCGGGTTACCCACAAATAGATAAAACTTCTTCCGAAAATCGAAAATAACTGAATCATAACACATTCTATCATCTGGCTAGCTCCGGCCACAACTTTACAGTCCACAGCCATGAAACAATCTGCTCCTGGGAACTCCCAATCTCCAAATCTATAGAACACGCGAATCACCATATTTGATTCCATTTCCACCGCCCGAATGCCTAACACCTCTCTCATACACGATCATCCCACGAGAAATACTTTAAAAGTTCTTCCGTGCCACTTGATAAAATTTGAATATTAGCAGTCTATCAACAATGTGAGTACCACAATACTAATTTATACATCTGTAAGTCAAAATACAATGCGCCTTCTGAAGTCTGCCCCTTTTTCATATAACACCAAGTAGTAATAGTATTCATCTAGTTATTTGAAACTGTCCAAGTTGTCCAACATTCGTTACCTTCTCTTCAAGACTGTACTGCCACCTTGTACATGAAAAATCTAGCTTTCGTACAACACATAACATCTATCTTGCCATCATGTGAAAAGCATAAGAATTTTATTATCAACTTTGAGTCACCAATAATTTACATACTATTTTAGTTAGAAACCTTTCTCTTGCTTCTTTCCAGGAGGAAATCACAATTCACAACACGTTCTCCACACCGATAGAAACCATCAAGAATACTTTGGAATTCATTTGCACATAATCAAGCCCTTAAAACTAAATTTCTCTAACCCAACCAAGCCACGCAGTTCGCCAAGTCCAGGTGTATTGCCACAAAGCAATTATAGAAAACCCTCACGTCATAAGCACCCAAAGAACCGATCATATCCATTATCATACTGATCCAACCTACTACCCAGATGTCCTATTTTCTCCGAGTCCCTTCCGAATTTATCTTCAAATTGATACTTCTTGCTAAAATACCACGATCTTTAACCACAACTCACCCTACAAACCTTATCATAGAACCACAACGCCATACGGCCCATAAGCAATTGTATTCTTCTTAAGCACTTTCAAAAATACCACAACTATAACACTCACTCTAAGGCTACCCTGAACAAGGGGCGGCTACAACAGGAACGCATGTACATCTTCAAGTCCCGCAACCATCGAGCACAGCAACAACAACAGCCAACATCTGCACGCAATGTGCAGAAGTGTAGCATCAGTACAACCGACCCCATGTACTGAGTAAGTAACAAACCTAGCCGTAGGTTGAAAGTAGTGACGAGCTTCTACCAAGGTCGGGTCCACAACCAATAGTCCACAACAACATAAAGCAAATAATACCAGAAGTAACTCAGAGATAAAATGCTCAGCCAAATCATGATTTCAAAAATTATAGTTCTTTCTTTCAAATACATTAGTGAAAACCCAAATCGTTTGCCGGAGTTGCCAAAAATATGAGTAGTTTGAAAGCAATAAATTTATCCCCAAAATCTTTTCAATAATAAATAAGATATTTCATTTTCCTTCCGGATAACCCGTGTAAAACAAATGCATCACTATGCCATCTGCCAAAATATGTGAAAAATCATGAATGATGTGATGCAGTACAGCATGAGGAAATACCTCTATATGCCTGTATGTCATGTGTGCATGCCAATGCGATGCAACTCAGTGATAAAATCATAAACAGCCCCTCGGGCAAACCTCACAGTCACTCGTGCCACTCGGGCATACCTCGCAATCACTCTTGCCACTCGGGCATACCTCACAATCACTCATGCCTTCTAGTCACTCAGCACTCGGCACTCGCACTCAGTAGGTACCTGCACTCACTGGGGGTGTGTACAGATTCCGGAGGGGCTCCTACAACCCAAGCGCTATAATCTGCACGGACAACTCACGTGCTGCACGGACAACTCACGTGCTATAATAATAAAGTATGATGCAGGCGGGCAGCCCCGATCCACACTCATCCTCATAATCGGGCCCTCGGCCGATATCAAACATGATGCGGCGTGCAGCCCGATCCCATAAATATGCAACATGTTGCGGTGTGCAACCTGATCCCATAAATATCCTCAAATATCAGGCCCTCGACCTCACTCAGTCATCAATCTCTCCAGTCTTTCGGGCTCATAATGTCATGAAAAATAGCCCAAAAATAATGATATGATGTATCAATAAATAACAACAGAGACTGAGATATGATATGCAATGAAATGAATATGACTGAGTACGAATTTTAATTTAACACAATAATTCACAGCAATATGACCTATGTGGGTCCCAATAATACTGGTACATAGCCTCAACATGATTTTTAATATGCTTTTCAGCTCAATTTCTTTAACACATAAAACCGCATGGAAAATGTCAAGATTATTTAACTATAAAATTACACATAAATAATTACATCGCAATTTCTATAGTGCACGCCCGCATGCCCGTCACCTAGCATGTGCGTCACCTCCCAAAAATTTACAAAAATACATATATTCAGGGTTCATTCCCTCAACTCCAAGATTAGAAGAGTTACTTACCTCGAACAAGCCGAATCCAAAGTCGAGCAAGCTACGCAATACTCCAGAAATTCCATTATGCGCGTATCAACTTCCAAACGGCTCGAATTTAGAAACAATTAATTTGATTTAATCCACATAATTTATAGGAATTAATTCCATATCAAAATGCTAATATTTTCCACAAAATCCGAAATTACGCCCCAAAAATCACCAGTGGGGCCCACATCTCGAAATCCGACGAAACTCACAAAATATGATAACACATCCAATTACAAGTTCAACCATACTAATTTCACTCAAATCCGACTCCAAATCGGTATTCAAACTTGAAAATTTTATTTTGTGACATTATAGAAATTTTCTTCTATTTCTCTTGAAGATTCAATAATCTTACACCAAAAATGAAGATTAATTCATGGAATATAATCACAAGGGAGTTAAGAACACTTACCCCAATTTGTGTGGAAAATTTCCTCTCCAAAATCGACCAAACTGAGCTCCAAAATATCCAAAATGAGAAAAAATCTTGGAACCCTCGTTTTAAATACTGCCCAGGCATTTCCGCACCTGCGGTGCCTGGGCTCGCACCTGTGCATCCGCATTTGCGGAACAAATTGCACGCCTGCGGACAATGCCAAACTTTCAAAACCCCGCATCTACGGCACCCTTCTCGCATTTGCGGGCTCACAGATGCGCAAACCCTTCGCACCTGCGTTCGCCCCAGGCCAACCCCAGTCCGCATCTGCGCCAACACCTTCGCACATGCGGCCTCGCAGATGCGGCAAATTTCTCGCACCTGCGAGCACTACCCAGTCCCACTCTTGGCCGCTTCTGCGGCTTATTTCACGCACATGCGGCTTCGCAGGTGCGATCACACCAGTGGGCAGCTGTTCCAGCATTTCCTTAAGTCCAAATTTGATCCGTTAAACGTCCGAAACTCACCCGAGGCCCCCGGGACCTCAACCAATTGTATAAATAAGTCGCATAACATAACACGGACCTACTCGAGGCCTCAAATAACACCTAACAATGTCAAAACGACGAATTACACCTCCATTCGAAATCATTGAACCTTGAAACTTCAAATTTTATAACTTGCGCCGAAACACATCAAATCACGTCTGATTGACCTCAAATTTTGCATACAAGTCACATTTCACATTACGTACCTATTCCAATTTCCAGAATCGGATTCCGACCCCGATATCAAAAAGTCAACCCCCCGGTCAAACTTCCCAAAAATTCAACTTTCGGCAATTCAAGCCAAATTCCACTACGGACCTCTAAATAATTTTCCGGATACGCTCCTAAGTCCAAAATCACCATACGGAGCTATTGAAATCATCAAAACTCCATTCTGGGATCGTTTACATATAAGTAGACATCCGGTCACTATTTTAACTTAAGCTTTAAACCTTGGAACTAAGTGTTCCAATTCATTCCAAAACCTCACGGACCCGAACCATTTACCCCGGCAATTCACACAACAACTGTAAAGTACAATTTGAGCAATAAAGGGGGAAGTAAGGTTGTAATACTCAAAACGAACGGTCGGGTCATTACACTAATAATTAGTTAAACAAACCAAGCCAGTGTCAAAATCTTTTGGAGCTAACTTCAAACAAAAGAAGCAACAAAAAAGTTCCAAACTTGAACAGAAAAAATAGAATTTATATGCTACCAACTTACTTCAACGTCTAATTTGTTAAGGGACTTAATCAAATTTCACCGACATGAATTCCATTAGTATCTGTATCAGTAACACTGCAAGAGAATACGAAATAAATTACTCTTAATAACATACAGTAACCAAGGGAAAAGAAGTGAAAGGATTGAAAATGTAGGAGATAACTTAGTGACATCTCAACAATCGAATTTGGAATTCTTATTTGATTAGTTTCTTTTAGTAGTTTTCTTTTCATCAGTTAACCATCTCAGTATCCTTCAAAATTATAAGAAAGCAATATCATTATGCTAATTAAATAATTAGAACATGCCCTTCATATAATTGGAGTTGACAAAATAGATAGCAGAACCAACGATCACATAAGAGTGTCAGGGACCTTTCTTATTTCTTAAAATTGTTGTATATTTCAGTAACCAGTAGTCTTAGGGATAAGAAAAATCCAAATGCAATCAATTTAATAGAAAACCACCACATATTTATGTGTGTTGTGAGTTTAGACTAGTACATCAAGTTTGCATCCACCTTTAGCCACGTATGTAGAAAGATGTCAATGAGCCAAATGTGTTACTTGTTCCCGAGGCTACCATTTTCTGTTTCACTTAAAGTAGTGTTCAATGCTGCAAATGTTCTTCCAATTATTCGCGCTTTCTATAAGTCGTGAAGTTTGTTATACAAAAAATAAGCTTTCTCTAAAACGAACACCTGGCCAAGAAATGAGTTGAGAAGCATAACTTACAACAATCCTGAAACCTTTGCCCACATATTCACCAGCGAAAGAAATTTTATTCACCATGCTTGTTTGCACCCAAATAACACATGCATCATGAAAAGGGAAACAGGAAGGAGTATAACAAAGATAGTTCTGACTAATCATTGAAATTTTCTTTATAATCATTTCTAGATGCTTCAGATAAGTCTTAACTCAAAGTCGGAACTACTAACTAAAGTTTAATCTCTAGATTTTCACTGATAATCACGGTTAAACAAACATGTTGGAATTATTTAGATGCTTTATTTATTTGATCAAAAGTACTCATGAATAAAAAGAAATCCAGACACATTTGTAGAAGCAAACACAAGGAGTGCTTTACCTTCACGAATTAGCTCAAATCTTGGATGATCAATCCGTTGCTTTAGATTATCCTTTGATCCATTGGAGTAATTTTCTACAACAATCACCTGAGCATATGCAAAAGTTAATGTAATTGTACTGAGTATGCAATCATCTTCTAATCATTTTTTATATACAAGGATGCAATAGTTGCAAATATACAACAGAAAACCAAACTTAGAAGATTGTACCTCATTCTTCTCATTTTACATTAGTTTGTCAACAAAGGCGAGAGCCGATAGTCTAGACCATCTACCAAATTCCTCATGTTGGTCTGTGATTATGGCAGTTCGTGAATAGTAAACAATGCTAACTAATATCAGAAAATTACACTAGTATCCCGTAAAGCAGCCTTGATTAAACATTAATTAGAGTACTACATTATGAAGAGGCTGGGAATCAAAATTCTACTTAATTATAACAAGAAGGAAAACAAAAAATCAATTCCTAGACCATTAGACCATCAATCCCCAAGCTCGACCAACTTACAAACAATTCAAAAATCAAACCCAAAACTTAGTAGTGCTCAAAGTCGTTGGACAAAGAAAGAATGCATTGCGTTGTTCCCCGTACTTCAAAATTCTAAATATATAATCCATCCAATAGCCAAAATAGGGAAAACTTCAATCAACCGTAAAAGACCAAAGATCTCCCAAATACCACCTAATACAAATATACAGTCTCTCACTAGAGAGCCTCCATTTAAACGCGCACAGGATTCCCCCACAACAATTCTTAAAAGGGTAAAATTACAATTAGACCTCAAGCGAAGGAACCCACACAAAATTGAACCAAAATATAACACAATACTAGTAATAATACATAAATCCGCAAGCATATCTTAAATAATTTTGAGTATGAACTCTTTAACGAATAGTAAATAAAGGATATATAGAGCAACTGAAAATAAAAAGAATATGACGAAGTACGAACCTTTGTTGTTCTGATTGCGCCAACTTTCTCTCAGTAGAGAAGGTGATGAAGAGAGGAAATTTGGGCCTGAAAGATTTTGTGAGTTGGGGAGAGGGAATTGTATCCTGAAAAAAGGGGAGGGTGGGAGTGTAATTTTGAAGTACTTAAGTGTTAAGCCCGGTAAATTTTATAATATTTCATGGTGTCGGATTAGGCTTATGTGTTTTGGGTTGAACAATGCAACGGAAAGTAAAGAAAATATTTTGGTGGAACAGTGCAATTCTGCGGTCCATTATGCGACCGCAGAACCACTCTGCGGACCGCATAATGGCCGCAGAGTGAGGCAGTTAATTGGGTCAGTTGGAAGCAACTATGTGGTCGACTATGCGACCGCATAACTGTTATGCGGTGCATTATTCGACGGCATAACAGTTATGCGAACCGCATAGTGACCGCATACACAGACAGTTCTTTTGGATATTTTGTAACCAATTATAGTCCGCACATCGGTTATGCGATCGCATACCTTGTTCCGGAGCTTCATTTTTGGGTTTTTAAAATCCGACCCTATTTCGTTAAATACAATCTTTGGATCATTTTTGAGCTATTATCTGACATTTTAGAGTGAGAGAGGGTGCCCTAGAGTGAGAAGGTTTTCTCCAATATTTGTCCTTCAATTCTTGCCCAAGTTTTGGAAGATTAAGAAGGGAAACTCACTAGGTCTTCATCCTAGATGTAAGATTCTACATCCTAACCCTCAATTTCAAATTTTGTGCAGAAATGGATAATAAGCAAGATAATTTATGGGCAAGAGGATTGGTTATCTTACATACATGTGTTATCAAAGGATGTAGAAAGATTGTTGAGATAAAAATGGTAAATATTGGGTTGTAGGATGATGAAATCCTCCATAAAAAGGGCCTTGAAACCTTAATGCACACCTAGTGTTTGATAAAATGCTCAAATGAGCTAGAACCATAATCATCTTCCTAATTGTGGTTCAATTTGTTATATTTCTAAAATAGATTGAAGTTTCTAAGAATTCCGGAACGTGTTAGAGTTTAAGGAAGCTCAATTGAGGTATGTTGGCTAAACTCTTTTTTAAGAGTTGTAATTCTCATTATCCTTGTAAGTTCCGAGATGTTGATTATAAATCGAGTATTCCGATAAGTTTTGTGATGAAGATATATGTTCAATTCGTATTTCAATTACTCTTATCATATTGCATTATAAATTGAGGATGTGTCCCAAACTATGGATTACGTATCCATATGTTATAATTTCTAGTCATGATTTATGTGAAAGTTATTATGTCAATTTGTGTAGAGATTGTGATTATGATACACCTCCTCCCGCATACATTGGGGTGAGGCGGTATGACCGCTTTGTGTATGGATTATGATATTGTGGGACTGCACCTCCACCCGCTTACATTGGGGTGAGGCGATACGACCACTTCGTGTATGGTTTTGGTATTGTTGTGGCACCACCACCCGCATACATTGGGGTGAGGCGGCATAGCCGTTTTGTATAGGTATTGGTATCGTTGATGCATTTTTACCCGCATACATTGGGGTGAGGCGGCATAGCCACTTTGTGTATGTTCTTGGTACTGTGGTTATACATCCACCCGGATACATTGAGGTGAGGCGGCAAGGCCACACCCGCATATATTGATGCATTTTCACCTACATACATTGGGGTAAGGCGGGGCCGCTTTGTGTGAAGATGGTTATAAAGGATCTCATCTTAAATCCTATAAATATTGTTGATAACTTTTAATAAGCTTGCTATGGTTGAGACAATTATCTATATTATTCTATTGCCGTATTGGTTCATCATAATTATCTTGTATTTCTAAATTCTTAAATTGGTGTTTAGTTTTCATACTAGTACTATTCGACGGTACTAACGTCCCTTTTGCCGGGGGCGCTGCATCTTTAAATGGATGCAGGTGGTTCCACAGCAGGAGACATTGATCAGTAATAGCAGTACACCTTCTTCCCAGCTGACTTGGTGAGCCCCACTTCATCCCGGGGTCATGTATCTTTTGTTCTTTATGTATTATGGTTGAGGTATAGCCGGGGCCTTGCTGCCGGCATTATCATTGTACTCTTCTTTATCTATAGAGGCTCCGTAGTCATAGTGTGGGTTGTATATTGGTACTGGGAAAGATAAACTATGCTATGTTGTAGTTGTATTACTTGTCTATTTGAGACTTTAAAAATGGTGAAACTTATAGTAAGAAATTGATAATTGCAGACACGACCACTTTATTGTTTAATTAAGGAAAACATATATTCTCTTTATTCATGAATGAGTTTGGCTAGAAGAAATCTAACAGGCTTGCTCGGTCGGGTTCACTCGGTTGAGCGCCGGTCGCGCTCCACAGTTTCGGGGCGTGACAGGGAGGGTGAGGGAAGGGAGGGAATTTTGCCCGCGAGATTCTGAAATTTTTCAGTCTAATCTCCAAATTACCCCATAAGGTGCCGATTAAAACCTATGAAGATAGTGTCCAGTATTGTCTTTTAGCGTCTTTCTTTGCTTCTAGTTTTCTCTTTTATTTCCTTTTTATTATTTTAAAAAAAGAAACTTTGACAAATAAAATTAACCAACTAATACAACATACTTAAAATCTAATTGATATATACTACTATACAAAAAAAAAGCAACGAAAAACAAAGATCCAAACAAATAATAAATTAAATATAATACAAACTTACTAAAACTCATTAAAATAATTCATTTAAAAAAATTCTAAATATCCTTGATTACATAAAATGTGACAAAATTATAAAAGTGCTAATATTTTTGCCTTAATTCACAACTTCTAATATTATGAAATTAAAAGACACTCATGTGCAGATATTTTATATTTTTTTGTCACGTCCCAAATTTCCAACCAAGGGGTCGTGATGGCAATCAACATCGCTTGCGAGGCAAACCAATACTTAACAATACTAAATCTAACAACCATCTAAAATCTTCCCAGAACTAGTGTCACCGAGTACATGAGCTTCTACAAAACTACTAAATACAATGTCTGAAATGACAAATACATTGTTTGATACGAATAAACAGTATAAAGTTTAGAAGATGGATGACATCAAGACCTGTGGACGAGAATGCAACACTACCTCGAGTCTCCACAATCAAGCAAGCTAGTTTGTCCTTTGAGTACCACTAAGTCTGATGCCAAAGTATATACAAGAAGTGCAGAAGTGTAGTATGAGTAAAACCGACCCAATGTACTCCAGTCACGACTCAACGTAACCCTCAGTGCGGTATCGTGATGGCACCTAGTCTTTACGACTAGGTAAGCCTAACATTACAAAAAATATAAAGAAAACACAACATCTTAAAGATAAACAGCTTATTATGAATAGCCAAGAGTAGTACCACTCGACATATATAAAATAATTTTCCCAAGACCCGGAATATCACTAAGTCACAAGCTGTTATAATCTATGTATCTCTATACAAAAGTCTGAAGATAATAAAGAAAGTCTATAGGCGAGGGAGTAGAAGGGGACTCCGAAGATCTGCGGACGCAAGCAAAAGTACCTTGAAGTCTCCTAGAATCAGCAGCACGCACTAACCCCAAGGCTGATAGCTCGTACCTAGATCTGCACACGAAAACATGTGCAGGAAAGGGCATGAGTACACCACAATGGTACCCAGTAAGTACCAAGCCTAACCTCGGTCGAGTAGTAACGAGGTCAGGTCAAGGCCCTACCGGAGCAAATATAATAAATTAAACAGTAAAAGATATAAGCAAAATTTACGATAACGCAGTTAAAGAAATTCTCGAAAATTTAATAGTTTAGGGAGCTCTCGGCTCAGAACAAAGTAAACACAATGGGGAATCTCCCGGGATACCGTCCCATAGTTCCGAATGAATATGCAGTACAGGGGGATCTTCTGGAATACGTCTGTAGTCCCAAAGTAAATATGCAGTGCTGGGGGATCTCCTGAAATACGTCCGTAGTCCCAAAGTAAATATGCATTGCTGGGGGATCTCCCGGAATACGTCTGTAGTCCTAAAGTAAATATGCAGTGGTGGGGGATCTCCAGGAATACGTCTGTAGTCCCAAAGTAAATATGCAAGACAGGGGGATCTCCCGGAATACGTTCGTAGTCCCAAAGTAAATATGCAGTGCTGGGGGATCTCCCGAAATATGTCCGCAGTCCCAAAATAAATATGCAAGACAGGGGGATCTCCCGAAATACGTCCGTAGTCCCAATTTAAATATGCAACGCAAGATGAAATGGCAAGTATGGCATCGAGTTATACAGTTTATACTGAACACAGATAAGAAAAATAGGGATTTAACTAAGCATGGCGCACAGAATGTCAAATAGGCAGTTAAAACACGTAAGCATGCTTTTCTAGTCTAAACTAAACAATTAAGCATATTAGTGCAATTTAATAAGAGGAAGAATTTATGATTAAAAAGGATAAACGGGATTTTTGCAATAACAGTCCGTGTATGTACTCGTTACCTCACGTACACAGCTCTCACACACCAAGTAATATCGAAATATCCTAAGGAGAAAGTCCCCAACACAAGGTTAGGCAAGACACTTACCTCGAACCGCTCAAATCACCTCGATAACACGTTCTTGCCACGAGTATCCGACTCCAAATGGCCCGAATCTATTCAAATAAATTGCATAATGTAAATATAACTACAAGTAACTAATTTAGCTAATGAATTCGAAGCTAAAGCGTGAAATTAGGAAAAACGCCCAAAAGTTACCCCGGGCCCACGCCTCGGAATCGGGTAAAAATTACAATTTAAAAACACTCATTCACTCACGAGTTCACTCGAACAAAAATCATCTAAAACCGACGTCAAATTGCCATTCAAATCTAGTCCGAATGACCTCAATTTTTACACATATGTCACAAATGATATTACGAACCTACAACCACTTTCGGAATTCCATTCCGAGCTCGATATCAAAATTTTCACTATCGGCCGAAATCGCCGAAAAACTAACTTTTGCCAATTCAAGCCTAAATCTACTACAGACCTCCAAAACACATTCTGGACGTGCTCCTAACCCCAAAATCACTCAACGGAGCTAACGGAGTCGACGAAATTCCATTCCGAATCCGTCTTCAC